CAGTAGGGGATACGAAGGATGGGCGCCATATGTTGTCTGGAGAAGGCGTGGCTGCCTCTTCAACCAAGGTTCAAGTCAAAACGACGGTCGGAGGGGCCAGACATTTTCAAAGGTGTTGAAGAAGGAAGAGGTCAGGACAAATCAAGATCTTAGAAGTGCAAGAATGAGCTTCTACTGGTGGAGATTCAAGTGTGCTTTGGAACTTAATGCCAGCCTCTATAAAAAATCTGCACTCGACGGAGCTTCAGAAAATCGAAGAGGCGTTTGCTTTCTCAAAAGCTGGGCTGCTCAGAGACCACGAGGGCCGATCTCAGAAATCGAAGAGGCGTTTGCTTTCTCAAAAGCTGGGCTGCTCAGAGACCACGAGGGCCGATCTCAGAAATCGAAGAAGCACCTGCTTTTTCAGCCTCGTCAGCACCTGTCACATGCACACTCAGCTTTGCGGAAATTACGGGCAATCTGTCGAAGATTTCTGGTGAAGTAGAAAAGCACGTGAATCTTACTGTTCAATCACCGCTCTCCATATGCACCATCAACTCCTCGGGTACCACATATAACTTTGTCAAAGATCTCTGACAAAGTTTAGGCACGAGAATTTCGAAGTTCCAGCTACCCTACTATTACCCATAAGGGTAAAGGAACAGCACCACTGCTTGACAACTGGAAAGTCCCTATGTGTGTCGACCTCCGTGTTTTGCGGCAAGACAGGTTGGCAAGAACGTCCAACCTTTACTCACATTCGAGAAAAGACTCCCAACATAATTACTTTCTCAAAAAACCGGAGTAGCACCGCTTTCCGAATCTCGAGAGTCAGATCCTCGACGGGATTGCTTGTTCGAAAACCGAAGAGGCACAACTCTCAGAACTTCGAGAGCCAGATTTCCTTAGATAAAGCTTGTCTGTAATCTTCACACGTAATATCAGCTTTCCAGATACCACATACCACTTTTTCAAAGTGCTCTGACAAAATTAAAACACGTGAAGCTGGCAGCTCCCACTACATTGCTGTGACCAAGAAGGGTAAAGGAATAGCATTACTACTTGTTATTGGGAAATCCCTATATACATTGACCTCCCTCCTCAACGGACAGGCAAACCTGCAAAAATGCTCAACCCTTTCTCGCATTCGAAAAGGCACCCTCAACATAACCTCTCGAAATACTCAGCTTTATTTCCCCCCCGATAATACCTCAGCAAATAAGCCACACCAAGAACAAGAGTATCTCATATCATCAGGGTCGAAAGCAAGAGTATCCCATATCATGCTTTCTCCCTGTCTTTGTCTTTTGTCCTTGTCCACACCTGCAGGACAAGGAGAAAGAGAGCAGTCAGTCGGAACCTGAAATCAAACCTCCAATTTGGAACTGACTGCCTGGAGCCTTTGCCTGGTTGCTTACTTAGCATTGCTCTCGAGTACTCATCCTCAACTGCTGTCAAGGTCACGAATTCCACCGGCAAATACCTCATGACAGTTGATCAGATATTGGCTCTTTACACTGAAGCTGCCAAGCGTGGATGAGTCACTATGAAGGAATGTTCTGAAGGACCATTTAAATGCAAAGGTTGCACACCACTTCTGCCATGCAAAAGATTGAAGCAGAAGGTTCAACGGTGAGCTGAAACAGATCACTACAGCACGACACCTTTCCATACCACATTCATTATTCCGTCAACAGCAAAAGTATCCCATATCATCAAGGTCGAACGTACTCTAGATTTGATGGACTTGTTTTGACCCTCAAATTTTTTGAGTCGGCCTTATACTCTGAAGGGCACCAGAAAACCCTCCAGCACAGTTCAAGAATAAGCCTGTGGAAAGTTACTTCTTCAAAAGCAAAAGTATCTCATATCATCTCTTATCCATTTGCTTCTCCTTATCCTGGCAGTTGAATGAGAGACAAGGAGAATGAGAACAATCAACCGGAAGCCGAAGTCAAACCTCTGATCCTGGGTTGCTTACTTGGAAGTTTGACTGCTTACCTTGTCTGTCACCTCTTTCGGCAGATCTCCTAGCTCGGCGACTTGGGGGACTCCTACTATAGGGTTTGTATCACACTTGACTAAGCCCGAAACTACAACTAAGCTTCAAGTGAAATTGATACATTACCTTGTGCGTCAACATCAGCTAAGTACACCATTCCCGGATGGAGGAAAGGTACTTCCAGAGAAGGGCAGATGAAGATCAGACCACACTTCGGTACTTAGAAGTTTCGTGATTACTCAAGGGATTGGATCTTGCAAGTCCCCAACCGAGGAGTTTCCCTCACTCGGGAACTTAGGGGAGCACTGTTTGTACCATACTTGACCAATCCCGAAACTACCGAGCACCGGCCAACGCTATACTGTCAAGGACCCAGAAGAGTTCCCCTCCGACCAGGAGGCCAATCACTACTCGACACGTGTCAAGATTAGAAGCCAATCAGAGCGCAGCACGTGTCGACATCAAGAACCAATCATAACATGACACATGTCAATGTGACAAAGCTACAAGTTTTTCTATAAATAGGGGTCATTCCCCCACAATATTGCCTAATGCCATTTGTGTTAAATCATTCACAAGAACTCACTAAATTGAGAGCTTGATCCTTTGTACTTGTGTAAGCCCTTCACTACTAATAAGAACTCCTCTACTCCGTGGACGTAGCCAATCTGGGTGAACCACGTACATCCTGTGTTTGCTTCTCTGTCTCTATTCATTTACGTACTTATCCTCACTAGTGACCGAAGCAACCAAGCGAAGGTCACAAAACCTGACACTTTCTGTTGTACCAAAGTCTTCGCTGATTTTGTGCATCAACATGCTTTATTAATTAAGTTTATTAATTGTCGTTTGAAGGCTTGCTTTGTGAAAAAATTAATGATTTTTCAATATTTATCGAAATTTAATTTTTTTTAGATTAAAATGTTCACAAAATTAATTTACAATAGTCTACATATTTATTTTTTTAAAAACAAATTGATTTAAGAAAAAAAATAGCCTAAGTTCATTCTTTAATAATCCTGGGCTAAAATTTTAGGCCAGAAGGGTTGAAGCAGAAAAGCTGTTTCTGGGTTAAAAGCCAAATTTTCCGGACTAAAAAATTTGGCTTTTAGCCCAAGGGTTGGAGATGGTCTTAGTGTAAATATATATCTTGAGGCCAATTAATTGGTCATGCATGATTTTTCATTACAAATTCATCGAAATAGTTTAGCACAAGAAGTATTCATCTAGGATGATTGGAATTTTGTTTTGTTATTAAATTATTTACTTGCTCAAACTATGAATAAGCCGGAATAATCAAGGAAAATTTGGTAGGGCGGTTACGACACTCTCATAAACAGTGAGACTTTGTACATTGAGAGATTATTTCAGTAAAGTCTGTTATGCCTAACTATTTAGCTGGCCATGCTGTCATACTCAAGTTTCTCTCTTTGGTCTGGACATTGGGCACGCATCATCATTTGCTAAAAACCCAATGAGAAGTTAATCAGATATAGAGTGGGTTTATAAGCCAGAATAATCAAGGAAAATTTGGTAGGGTGGTTACGCCGCTCTTATAAACGGTGAGACTTTGTACGTTGAGAGATTATTTCAGTAAAGTTTGTTCTGCCTAACTATTTAGCTATTGATTCTCCTTCTCCAATATCGCTTCTACAGAAAAGCACAATAGCCTGAATCTAATAGAAATAAGTGAAATAATTTGTAGAGCGAGAAAGGTTACGAAAAAAAATCTAAACTTTTGAGAAAAAAGAATCATAAATTAGATAAACACCATAATACCCTAACAATTCATATGGAAAATCTTCAAAATTAATGTAATTAATTTATGCCTTCCATTGCCTTCAATCAAATCTTTCCTCAAATTTTTGAAACTTTGACAAAAGAAAGTAGCCGTTATATTGTTTCCAACATTATACAAATTTACCACCCTAAGCATTCGTGATTGAATTCAAAATATTCAAACGGATCTATGAACACCTAATATATATTGTAAACAAAATCTTTGACAAATATTACAAAATCCCTCAGAAAATTTCGATTTCCTCGAAAATTTTGAGAAGCAAAATCTTTTGTTTAGATTCTTAACAATCGCTTTGTGGAAATCTAAGGATGTCTAATCCAACGAGATGTGCAGCTTGCAGATTTTTGCGAAGAAGATGCCCTCAAGATTGTGTTTTGGCACCCTATTTTCCCTCCTCCAATCCTGAGAGATTTTCTTGTGTCCATAGGATCTTTGGTGCCAGCAACATTACCACAATGCTAGAGGTAATAACCAATTAAATAAGATATTGGTTGCCATTGATTAAGTAGCTTTTTTTATACAAGCAATACTCCACTTTGCACATATTTTTTCTAGCCAATGTCGCTACACTCACATCGAGTGTATTTGTTTAGGTTGGTTGTCTCAACTATTATTAGCCATTTGTGTAAAGTGCAACTAAATCCAAACACATTTGGAAGCACTACAAATTGTTCAGCATACCAGTTGTATACAACCGTCTTCTCTTTTTCAATGAGTGGAAGAAGAGAAATTCGAACTTGTGATCTTTATGAACGTGTATACAAGTGATGTCTATGTGTTTACTTTAATCCAAAGTCAAAGGCGAAGCCATGAAAGGACTAGGATGGTCCCAGGCCCATTTGGACATTTTTTCATGCAAAAATGTTTAATGTAATGTTTATGCTTTTTCAAGGTTTTCTGAAGGCTCAAGGCCCAATCCGACATTTTTTACTTTAATTTCTTTCATTGGGTTTGATTTGAGGTTGGTGGCTCCTATGAAGTTTAGGCAATCTGTTGCTTGTGAGCTTTGAGGAGTTTGTATGGGGATCACTGGAGGGAGAGAGGAAGAAAATCAGAGAGGCTTGGAGTTTAGGTTTAAGGAGAGGATGATGAAGATGACACCAAACCAGACTCAAATGACATTGGTCGTTTGCTCCACTCATAGGCTAAAATTCTGGCTACGCCATTGACCCAAATTTTAGTCGAAAATATGAGAAAAAATTGAAAACCTTGTTTCTTATTTTTCAGATATACGAGTATAGAATGTGTTACTAATCTTAATCAATCGTCTAATTGTATCGTAAATGCAGCAACTTCCAGTCCATTTAAGAGAAGCAGCAGCAGACTCCATGTTCTACGAGGCATCGTTACGTGTTGAAGATCCGATTTACGGATGTGTTAGAATCATTTCTCAGCTGCAACACCATATATTGGAGGCTCAATCTGAGTTACTCAAGACCAACGGTCAAATAGCATCCAACCTTGCACAACACCAACTGCACCAGCAGCAGCAGCAAAATGGTGTTCATGGTGTTAGTTACCACCAAGACCAGCAGATCAGTGAACCTTCGGGGCTCAGCTTGGACATGCAAGCTTTCGCAGATGACTGTTACCTTCACCCGTAGAGATGTGCAAGTTTTCAGACGCGAGCTATGCCAGTTAGCTATAGCAGTGTGCCGACCCCTTGCATTTAAGTTATAATTCTTTCGCCCAAAGATTAGAATAGCATAGAATACCATCTTTGCACAAATATATGAGCTTAATTTGTTAAGTCCAACGGTTTAATTTGAATTCTCATTTGATTGATAAAATTGCTCAAGAAAATTTGAAAATTGTTGAGAGCAGCGTTCTATTTACACTTGGCTAAAAAATTACACGGCAAATTTGCTAAAATTGGATATACAAATCTTTGCCAAACCAACACTTGGCTATAACCATCCCCATACGCCGGAATAAAGACTTTCAGACAAAAAAAATGAGAGATTGCCCTGAGAGACGAAGAGGTGGAAAAGCCGGGAAGGGCATTTCCGTGGAGAAGGATGTAATCCGTCTTGGCCAAATGCCAATCCTCCTAGTTTGAAAGACCAAATGAGTTGAGTTTTGAGAACGATAACCGTTGATTTTCCTCATTTATTTCTCGTAGTAAGAAGAAACTCGGATGCCTAGCGTGATCCTTGCTCCAAGTTTCGAAGATCTGGAGACTGATGGTTTGATAGCATGCGTACAGAACACAACTAGGGAGATGAGCATTAGGTATTACGATTACGAGAATTTCTGCACCGCTGAATAGGCCGACTGAAGTACTGGGAAAACGGAGTCTTTGGGACCGGAATTAGTTTTCCAATAATGGCAAGAGGCCAACTGTCGGAAAATAAGGTCAGTTAAGTACCGCGATTAGGCAAATATAAATTGCAAAACAGAATGACTCGCATACTTTATGAAACCGATTTCGTTACTTCCACTTGTGGTTCTTAAACTTTAGCCAAACTTCATCCAGTTAGAAAAAAAACATAAGGAATCATCAAGTTAACGTACCTGACAATGGCAATTCCCAAGCATATGAGCCATTGCTGCCATGATAGTCTAACCGTTTTTGTAAATTTTCCGAGGAACATGACGATGATTATCTGAAAATAGAGTTGTACTCGGTAATTATTTATAGTAAGAGCCCGAAACCAAAAATATAAATGCAGAGGCCTCTCACCTGAAGTACAAATGTAATTCCTATTATTCCCATGAAGAGGTAGTTTTTGGTCACTCCAGTGAAGACATTTATTTCTTCAGGCTTTCGAGCATTGAACTCGTTGAAAATCTGTAAGAAGTTAACATAAGCGTTGGAACAAATTACTAAACCAGCTTAACTAAACAATTGAAACGCAACTCCTAATCGTAATTCACATAGCTATTTTCAAGTCCTATACTTACTTGACAAAAGACGAATGCATTGAATATGACAGTATTCTTCACACCAACGGCATGCTTTGGGACATCCTGCTGCAGACCAAGAATGCTATTTCCCAAAAAGTTGAGGACAAGGAGGACAGTAACTTGATACATAGCCTGTGCCAAGTAAAAATGATGAAATTAGAGAACAGAGTGATACAATGTTAATTTATGCTTCTTCAACTGCGATGTTAGTAACAGTGCCAATGATAATCGAAAGAGAGGAGATACCTGAATGAGTAGGTTCCTCCACATGATGTTCGTTATAAGAGGTGCCCTGAGAAACAAATATCAGATTATTACTTCACTTCATCGAAATCTAGCATACAACAAAATTTGACTTTGAATAGTATCAAAGTATGTCATTGCTAGCTAATCACACGATTTCACACCTTCGGCCAACTGGTGTTCTATGCATAAGGTTGTCTGTAGGTGGTTCGGTAGCCAACGCAAGGGCTCCTAGAGTATCCATGATCAAGTTAACCCACAGAAGCTGGACAAAGAACATGAAATAAATTATTAGAAGAAAGATGACAGAGAAAAGTAATGAGCCTAAACCGCAGAGGATTCTTTCACTCATCTTTGTTCTGGCTTCATATTCCAGATTGTACAAAATATGCAGTGCCCAAGCCATGAAAAAACATGCTGTTGTGTGTGTGTGTGTGTGTGTGTGTGTATATATATATATATAGAAGAGAGTGGGGGGAGGGGGGGGGGGGGAAGAGAGAGAAGAGAGAGAAAAAAGATACCTGTACTGCATTTAAAGGAACACGACCAGAAGAGATTGCGGCCACAACATTAATTACAAGAGCGGCAACATTAACAGTAAGTTGGAATTGGATAAATTTCTGAATATTTGCATACACAGAACGTCCCCAGCGAACAACCTACATAAAGTACAAAGAGAGACACTCAGAAGAGACAAAATCACCACTCCAACCCTATTATTGTTTTACATTAAGTATACTTTCTCACCTTTACAACAGACGCAAAATTATCATCCAAGATAACGATATCCGAACTTTCCTTAGCAACTTCAGTTCCTTGAATGCCCATAGAAAGACCAATATCTGCCTAAAATACATAATGGTAAAGATCTGGTCAGCTATAACTAGGTAAAAAGCATGACACTAGGAGAAGGGATGTTATCGAGGGGCGAATTTTGCTAGAAAGATGGGTTATCAGGATGTTTAAATCTAAAATGGCATGAAATGCCAACCACATGAACTTATTAAATTCACAAAGGCGACAAACCTCATGAAGTGCCGGAGCATCATTAGTGCCATCCCCTGTTACTGCAACAACTTCACCTCCCTTACGCAATGCTTGCACAAGCAACAACTTGTCATTGGGAGAAGATCTGCCCATTACCTAAGCAATAACGTGACAAAAAGTTCATTACTGTTAGGAACAATCAGAGATGCAATCTAGAAATAACAGAATTAGCAAGGGTAACAGACTGAAGATCAAAAGCTAATACAAATTCTAAGAATTGCCATAATGTAGGAACCATACTGTTATTTTCTTGGCGAGTTGTTCCCTTTCCCTTTCAGACAATTCACGGAATACTTTTCCTTCAATGATAGTAGGCTCAGTAGCATCTTCAAGTGAAAGTAGTATTCCACACTCTAACGCGATCGCTTTTGCTGTTTGAAGATTGTCTCCAGTGACCATGCGTACCTATAGGTTCACAAAAATGTGATTCATATGGTCATTTTCCAGACACGAGAACCACAATATAAAATATTTTATAATGTAAATAAGTATACATCATTATGTTTGCAGAAGTGTAACATAAATCAGGATGTTAAAGAACCAATGAGAAAAGTTACCTTGACACCAGCTTCTGTGCATTGTTTCACTGCATCTCTGACACCAGGACGACAAGGATCCTAGTCACCAGACATACATATTAGCTCAAAGTGAAGTTTGATAATACTTTATATTAAAAGCAAGGCCTAAGAATATGGTACTGTCTATGCCATAGGCTATCAAAAAGATATGCAATAAACAACTGCAATAGTTGAGAATTTACTTTGTGGATATGCGTACCTTTATGCCAACAATAGCAAGCAGGACAAGGTTATCTTCTGGTAATGCCCATTGACTTAATTGCTCTTCATCGGTAGGAACTTTGTCCAATCCATATGGTCTATATGCAATGGCAACACACCGCAAACTGCTCTCTGCCATGTCATTAATAGCTGTCGCGAAAAATTCCTGCAGAAGGATATAACAAGACATCATACACAAATTTCACAGGACAATTTCAAGAGATTAAAGAATATTTCTCATCTTTCTAATAGAAACCTAATTATCAAATGATAATAAGGGCCCAATTGGATTGAACGAAAATCATACGGGTGTTCATTTTTACACCCAAGGAGGTAACATGTGGATTTTCTGAACATAAGAGCAATATTTATCGAAGTACAACTAATCAATTTACATTCAAATTCGGATCTTCCATCCAAATGGACCCTAAGAGTTTTGTGCGTATTAATTCTCATCATTACCAAGAGTAGAAGTGTCAAATATAGCGCTCATATATATAAATGTCATAATAGATTCTTCATCCATAACTTCCTGGAGTATGTTCATTTAAATCAATGAGAAATTCCATTTGTTCCTAGATTTTAATTTCTCAAAGCCGGTTCAGAGTGTGTTTTTTTTCTCTATGCTAAGACTTTCTGATTATGTCTTTATGGATCGTGTTCCCACCTTGTCATCTTTAATATTATGCAAGCAACCATCTGAGTCAAGGTACTCTGTGCATGAGGCTAAAAGTATCTCCGCTGCTCCTTTCCAATGTATATGAACATTAGAGTCAGCCTGTCACGAAAAGAAAGAAAGTGAAGAAATAACATTAGCATGGGATTAATCGGGCAAACGAGAGAGAAGCTGTGCACAGAAAAGGTTTAAGGTAGCTCTATTGCTTGTGTGATTTTATCTTTGGAGGTATTATCATGTATTTATCACTATGTAAGTATATTAATATTGCATTCAAAACATGCATAAAGTGATATTTTCCAGATGAAAAATGCAGAGGGTTAAGGTTATGTAAGGTATCCACAATGCAGTATAATTGACAGGAACTATACGTTTTTGGTCTTATTCCACATGATAAGTTGATTAAGCATGTATTTGACGAGATGATATACCATCAAGAGAGAAATGATAAGTTAATGGAGTATATATTCAACGATATGGCATAACTTCTGAGTCACTTTAACTAGTTTTGGAAATAAGAATGGTTCACTAAGTTGGGTTGAGAAGTTCTTTACAGTGATTTTGTCACCGGAAAAACTCATTTATGTTAGGTGAACAAGACACAGTCGCTTTACTTCAAACTCATCGATAATGTTACACACCATGTGAGGCTTTCCGGATGAACTAAAATACATCTCACTATGCAAATCCCACTGGGTCTTAATTGATTCCGAAATTGAAAATTTACACCTTTAATTAATCAATTACCTGCTTTACTGCAACACCACCTCGCTTTTTCTCTGAGTTGAAAGGGAAGACATGAAGGACTGTAGACTCCAATCTGATAACACCAAACTTCATTCCCAACTGTGATGCAGAATTTGATAACTAAGAAAATCTTCAAATATTGGAGAAACAAGAGTACCAGAATACACTAAAGCACACTTAAAACAAACCTTGAATGCCCAAGAAAGTATAGCCTTTTCCGTAGGAGATCCAGAAATCTCTACTTCACCACCCTGCTAAACAAAATGAATTTTTGCATTTAAATATTAACATTTAGAATTTGAGAATACCATCAAAGCTCAACAGCTAAGGGAAACAATGTCATCCCCCCCTGATAATGCCGTGACAACTGAAGAAAAATATTACCGTTGGCTCAAATACATTGCCAGTGGTATTCTGCGCAACGCCCTCACTTAACAGAGTGGAAACCAGTGGATGCAACTGTGAGGAATCATCTGGTGGATTTATCTTCTTTCTCCCAACATATGCCTCAACCACAGTCATCTGCCATATCATATATTTTTGTCACTATTTCTATTTTACCAATACATTTTTCAGATCGAAACAACTACATGATACTCAAGTTTCACATGCTGCCCGGTACCCTGCGTTTATAAATTGATGAAAAACAATATTCAGTTTTGATCATAGAGCACACCTGATTTAAAGTCAATGTCCCAGTTTTATCACTGCAAATCGTTGTTGCTGAACCCATAGTTTCACAGGCTGACAGCCTACGGACCTGCACATATTTACTGTTAATAGCTAGTTTGACGAGATTTTTACAAAGACATTTCCTAGCAGAAGCTAAAATATCACAAAAATGAAAACAGAATGATGGTCGACCAGTGAAAGCCAAAGCGAGAAAAGACAAGAAAAATATTTTTTAACATTTAAGAAACCGAAAAACTTTCAATTAAAAAGACCAAAGACACTTACCAATGCCTTATCTGCCATCATTTTCTTCATTGAGTATGCTAGCCTGTCACAGAATTGAAGACAGACACAAAGTTGATAACACAAATGAGAACTATATTGGTACATTAAACTTAGATTCCTGTAATTGCAACCCGAAGCAAAAGTGGTTGATGCTACTTACGTCAAGGTAACGGCCAAAGGTAGCCCCTCAGGGACTGCAACAACCACAATGGTGACCTGCATGGTTCTATAGTTTGTCAAAGAAAGGCCTACATATAACCTTAAAGCCAATTGATCCGGAAGCTTCACTTACAGCAATCGTGAAAATTTTTATTGCTCCATCAAAAGCTTTGCCAATTCTAGTCTGACCAGCTATAAACTGGACTTTTCCATCTAGATCTCTTGTATTTCCAGTGAAGTATCTAAAATTTTAAATAAAAGCAAGGCTAATAAGATGATAAACAACTCATGTAAAATAAAATTTTAATTATTCATTGATCACAATGTTACCTGGCCCAAAGGACGGCAAGCACCAAAACAGCTACTGAAAGCCCAACTATGCCTATAAAAGTTGCAACTCCATTCAAACGCACCTATCACAGAGCACCAAAGATATCGTTGAGCTGTAAATAATAGATTTTCTACAGATTAAACAACCATACTTGTGGAAAAATGAAAAAACCTGTAAAGGAGTTTCTTCACCAGTATCCTCTGAGATGCTTGCCATCAACAATCCCCATTCAGTATTGATCCCAACACCAGTTACCTACAGATAGCCAAAAAGGTGAAGCAACCTGGTGGTGCACGTCTTACGTTAAGTAAAAAGGAGACTAGAAACATGGGATTATAGGGAAAATTCCAGCATCAAAATACAGAGATGCGAAACGTATGATTGTTTCAGTCAAGTTATGAAAAGTGAAGTACAATTAATTAATTGAAATTATTTACCAGCATAGTACCCACTCCATCAGCCACTTTGCAACCTGACATTAAGAAAGGTGCTTTCTGATCCTTGTGAACCTGAAAGAGATGGCGCTTAAAAACTGTATTGGTAATTGTGATAATTAAATTACTGCATGGTACTGTATAAGCACTTACAATCTTGCTTTCACCAGTCATGCTAGATTCATCGATAGCAAGTGAATGACCAGTGACTAAGATTCCATCAGCAGGGACCTAAGTACGAACAAAATAATTTGGTTACGCACTATCAAATTAATATCCAGTAAAACAATAAAACATTAAGTACACTCACTTGATCACCTATTCTGAGTGGTACAACATCACCAACCACAATATCAAATATTGAGATCTTTACTGATCTACCGCCTCTCAGGACCTGTAGAAATTTTCATATAAGTCGATTTAGCATCCAGAGAGTGAATGGTAACATTCCAATGGTGTACGAGTGCGCACCTCCAGTTGTATATTTTGTTTTTCCGAGTTAAGATTTTGGAACTGAAGAGATTGCCGATAATCACTAACAGCTGGCAAACAAAAAAAAAATGACAAGGGGAAAATTAGTCCCATGCTTACAAGATGAGTCTAATTGAAACAAGATCAAATCACGACTACAATATCAATTCCAATACCTGTAACAATTATAACAAGAAACACAGCAAAGAAAATGCTTCCTCCATCATACCATCCTTCCTCCAGACCCTATGAGGATATCAAAAGAAAAAAAGGTAGACAAAACTGTTTATAAAAAAAAACATAGAAACAAAAAGAATAGAAATCCAAAACACGCCCAGATAATTAGACAAACAGGCACCATTTGGTTATAAGATAAATGCGAGAATAGAGGATGCAAATGATCAAGAATACCTCAGTTTTTATTCCGAGTCCCAATGACACGACTGCAGCTATGATCAAGATTATAAGAGTTAAGTCTTGCCAAGCTTCCCAAAGGAATCTCTGCAGGACAAAGCATAGGAATGAATTTCAGTTATTGCAACATGTTCCTAACTAAAACCACAAAATAACAAAAAAGTAACACTTTGTAATTAGATAATATACCAAGAAACTCCGCCCTTTTTTCCGAGGATATGTATTTGATCCAAACACTTCCTTTCGTTTTACTACATCTGTTTCAACCCCATCAATTCCCTTCTCCGCATTCGATTTTAGCAACGCTGATATGCCTTTAACCTAATGAAATGATGATTGTATTATGTATGTAGAGCACACAAAACATTACCAAAACAAGGAGAAACACATTTTCAGTTGACTTACCCCTCCATATTGCTGTAAAGCGGTAATGTTGTTCTCCCTGGTCAATGTAACAAGTTCGTCTAGTGCAATTCCATAATCACCACTGGGAGTTGGGGGCGCAACTGTTGTGCCAATCCCTATATCATCCGGGACAAAAGCAAATCATGCAAATAAGCAACTAAAATGGAATCTTCTGGACAAGAATGAAAATACAGCTAGAATTATGTTTAAAGAACTTCTGAACTGTCCAACAATATAACACAAGTTACAGATCCAATGTATATCAAGCCTGACAGAACACAACATGCAGTAATGCTTCCCCTTCACTATGGCCCTACCAAATAACCTAAACCCTGAACATGAGCCTCTGGGAAAAACTAACGAAAGTAGAGAAATAAGGTAAGTTATCAGCATCATATAGAAAGCGGACCAGTATACAACGTGAGTTTGAGTACTTAAGCGACCATAAAATGCAAAAGCTTCAGTTTCAATGAAATAAGCCCAATAATGTCTATGAAGTCTAAGACAACAAATATTGACAAACTAAATTGTGTAAAACCATTCAACTTTGACAACAAATTAAGACTGATGCTGCAACGAGAGACATTATGGAAATGGTGAAAATTGCTAAATGACATGAAAAATTTGAATACAACTTAAGAAAAACGCTAAGCAAACCAATAATATGCGGATGAAACACGTAAGCTTCATAAAATAGCATTGTAATTAATAAACAACTGGAAGCTAGAGTGAACATTTACCAAGTTCCCGTTCTCCTGCCAATCTGAAAAGCAATGCTGCCTAATATGACAAGTAATCATCAGTCGAACGGATAAAAATAGTTCCAATTACTGAAAGTTGATTATTGTTTGAAACATTACTCTTATGACTTGTGCATGGGATCTAATCATCCGCCTGCTATTTTCTTTTTCTTCTTCCGCTTTCAAGTCCATAGTGTACCTGAACCGTCTGGAAGCATTTAACACTAGTGCCGCTTGCTGCCAAGAAAGTGATCATAAGCAAGCGCAGTTGGCAAAATAATCACAATAAGATTATCCACAAAAATGAAAAACAGAAAGATACGTCCCATTTCGACACCTTGTAAGTTTTTTTCCGGTTACATTGGAAGGAATCGAGCCTGAACCTATCGTACCACTTGGGCTAACCCGAAGGGGTTTGTACATTGTTAACATATATTTTTTTTGTATGAACGCTTGTGTAATGTGCCCCATTACATTACACCAATGGCAATTGGCATTATTTTCAGGCATTGAAAAAATTGACTCGATTCGATTCCAATCCAAAATCCAATACGAAATGGACAATGGCGATTTGTTTCCTCTTTCAATCAACCAAAATCAATGCTAGCAATCATCACGTTGCAATATTATACAAAAAATTTATGTTGCTGAATCCACAAAAGCGGCATTGCTATTTGCAATGCAAGCAGTGCAATGTGGTTGAAATGGAATGTCGTATAATACGTACCCTCCATCTCCTGAGCGTCGCGGGAGGCGCGTTCTTGGTGTGGGCAATGTCGAAGGGATCGGTCGGCATGTCGTTCGCCGCGGCAGCGTCGTCGTCGTTGAACTCGGTCTCCAGTCCCACCCTTTCCCCTCCTCCCCTTCCCCCGGCCTCCATGTCGTGGTGGTTCCGCTCCGACAACGACGTCGGCAACAACCCGTTCGTGGAAGACGACGAACCACGCGACGCGGCCATCTGTCAATCGTTGTACGGTACGAACAAAGAGTTTGGTCTCTCTCTCCTCCGTTTTGGCTCGGCCCCCGAGCGTTTCAAACTTGTGCTGGGGCCCACCCACCTCCTTTGCCAAAAAACACACCAAACAAAATGTTAAAAAAAAGAAGCAAAACTCCCAAATAAGGAGAACACAGAAACCAAAGCTGGTTTGCAACACGGCAACAACAACCGTACAGCAGAGGAATTAATGTTCTGTTTTTTTTTTTCTTTTCAGCGGCGATGCTACCGTTTATGTTTTGGTGGGTTTTATTTACCAAAAATAGGGTTTTTTATTTTTTTTTATTTTTCCGGCAAACAGCCTTATAAATTTGACCGCGAATTTAGGAGTATAAACCGGAAACGAGATATTACCTGTACACGACGCGTACGCCGCATTGCAGTTTGGAGGATAATGAGAGGCAGAGAAGAAGGAGAGCCTTCTCATTTATTTGTTTTGGCTTTTAAACGCTAACAGCACATTTAAATAAAGGAACTTTAACGAAAAGCATCCGGTAGTGTTCACTTTAACGAAAAATCATATTTTTACACTAAAAAGTCAATCCTGTACTATTTACTTTATCCTTTATTTTGTCCTTATCATTAAAACTCAAAGTTTTCAAGCCATTTTCATTAGTTTTCCTTTAAATTAAAATGTTTTAGAGTCAAACTTTAATATAAATATAAGTTAATTTTTCAAAAACATTTGAAATGTTTTTAACAAAAAGCATTTAACATTGCGCTGTTCAAAATCCATTACGCCTGGTTTGGTATTGTTGTGCTTTAAAAAAAAAACTGATTCTGCTGTACTGTGAGAATAAACCGCTGTGAAATAAAGCAGCAGAGTGTTTGATAAACTTTTTTGTAAAAATGTTTTTGAAAAAAAAAAAGCAGTATAATGGTGTTTGGTAAACTCATATGTAAAACAGATGTGAAAAAAAAAAACCGATTTTTCAAAGCTGGGTTTTGCAGCTTTGTGTTTTTGGTTTTTTTTTCACCTAAAACTGTGAAAAAAAGTTGAAGCTGAATGTTTACCAAACACAAAAAAACTCTCAGCTTTTTTTATACCTTTTTTTTTCAACATTACCTCAGTACCAAACCAGGCCTTTGATTAGCGACAATTATATTAATGGGAATTGAAGGACAAATGAAGAGAGTGTGAGAGGACGTGTTGTTACCCATTTTTTTCAAAATTACTTCGGTACCAAACCAGGCCTATGATTGGTGACAATTATATTAAGGGGAATTGAAGGACAAATGAAACGAGTGTGAGAGGACGTGTGAGAGGACGTGTGAGTAGGGAGAGATTGAGGGACAAGGATTGTCTGCCCTCCTAGTTGTGGTACCCTTCCATGCCCTCCTATTTTGTGCGGTCACGGTTAAGCCACGTCAATATTTTATATTTTTATTATTTTTTGTCTTATTATCTCATTAAAAAATTAATATAAAATATTGACGTGGCTTAACCGTGACCGCACAAAATAGGAGGGCATGGAAGGGCACCACAATTAGGAGGGCAGACAATCCAAGTCCGAGATTGAGAGAGGTTTTTTTTTAATTAAATAAATTAAAGGTGAAAAAATTATTTGTAGGTGAGATTTGCAAAATTTTGTTTTGTAAAATTGTCTTTAATTTTTTTATTGTGATAAAAATAAAAATATCTTTTTACTTTCTCTTGATTGATAAAAAGAATTTCATTAATATTAGTTTAGTTAAATAAATTGTAAGTCACTCAGTACTACAGTCTGGTATTATTCTTCTTCACTTGGAAGTTATAAGTTTTAAGTTCGAATCTCTTGAATGACGAATTTGATACCAAATTAAGTTGCCCATTGTATGACGTAACCGAACTTTCATTTCCCTTAATGTAAAAATCTCTATGTACTCAAAAAAGAAAAAATAAATAAATTACAGAGAATCCCCTAGGGCAAATATGACCGCTAGCACTATCCCACACCAAGCTGAGCAATTTTTTATTGATTTATTTAACAAGATGTTTGTGTTTATTTATCAATGTGTATTATAGCTAGGTTTATGATATATCAATTTTATCGTCCATGGCAACAACTTTTACATTTGAGCATTCTCAACTCTCTTTTCTGATAATTTTGTATTGTGCAATGATCTAAATATCTATTTCTATGTCACTTAAACTCTTCATTTTGACAATGATAATTAAGTTGTTAATATAATTTCTCATTTAGAAAGTAGGTGGTTTTACTCATCAAGCAACATTTCAAGATGAGAATGATGACCAAGAAGGTAAAATGAGAAGGTTGCTAATATTTTTTCCCTGTAAATCGCTTTAATTGATAATGTTAAGAGGAGATATAATCATCACACTAAAAGAAAACCGTGTGAGAAAAAGAACAAATAATACAAAACTTTTGGCCACTAGTACTACATGTAGTGATATTTTTTTTTCTTCTATGAGCGAGAAGTTTTAAGTTCCAACTTTCATATTTGATATCAAACTAATATTTATTTATTTAATGGCTTAGCTAAATCGCCTGCTCAATATTTTTGTACAAAAAAAAAAGTAAAATTAGCATAATACTTTTATTTTGAAGAAAAAATTTGTGCATACTTCTGTTTATTTTTATCGCTTATAATTAGCCCCTTGATTGAATGTGGAAAATACTTTCCAGCTAAATACAGTCCAAAAAGTATGTATTGCAATCGGTCCAATGGCACCGACGAAAAGTACGCGTTGCAACCGTTCTTTTTTATAGATAGTAGTATGTCTTGCAATCGGTCCAATCGCACCGACAAGCACCGACGAACACCCACGAAAAAAACACCCTTGGTACAATATTGAGATCTCACAAAGATTGGTTTCAGTAAATTTCTATTTGCTGATTTAATCTTTTATGGAATCGGCCCCCCTGACTGTACAAGAATATGTGGAGCTCAACATGTTTGGAAGCACAGAAGAACGTTCTTTTGCAAATATTATTACCAGTATTCGATACTGGGTCATTCATAGCATTACTATACATTCCTTATTTATTACGTGTTGCAACCATTCTTTTTTATAGATAGTGATATGGGTACAAGATTTTTCCAATAAGAAACAAAATGTGCAAAACATTGACTGAGGTTCACCCAAAAAAAAAAAACATTGACTGAGATGTCTCATAATCTTAAGTCCAATCTATTATATATTACTACATTAAAGCCGCATGATGCGATGATAAACAAGTTATTTTAGAGCAATTCCACCCCTAAAAATGTGCTAGCATTCAGTCTATTTAATCTACTCAAATAAATAGTGATTAACCTCAATGAATAATAATTGGTTAAATGCAACTTCATCCCTAAAAAATGTGGTAGCATAAAGTCTAAAAAATGCGCTGACACAAATGTATCTTCATCCCTAAAAAATGTGTTGGCACTCAGCCCATTTAAAATATTATTAATTTTTTTATTATAAAATAATAAAAAAATAGTTTTAATTTTGGATAGAATTTTTAACCAATATTGTCACACCACGTGTCATTATCCGAAGGGGTTGAAAATATTGAAATGTGGTGTAAGGTGGAAGATGATGGTTAGGTATTTATAGAAAAAAATAATATTTTTAAATTTTTTTTTTTTGTATTTTAAACAATTTTCAATATTTTTTTATTATTTTTTTTAATAAGTTAATTAATCTGAACTGTTGGATTTGAAACGTGGCCAACGATCATAATTCTGACCATTTTGTATTTTTTTTTCTTCATTTTTTGGGCGAAAATCGTGGACCATTGATCTTGGAATTGGACGGCCCAAAACACGCCACATCACTAGCCGTTGGGTTTCAATTTCAATTTTTTTGACCGTTGGAAATCCAGCGGTCCAAAAAACTAGCTGTTGGAAATCCAACAGCCCAGAACGAGCCATGTGGCTTCGCCCCGATCCAAGTTAGTGCACTGATACGGCAGGGCCCGATGTGCTTTTCCTGTCGCCAACTTGAGCCCACTTGCACTTGTACCCCACACGCCTAACGCAAAAAAAATCAGGGGGCATATGCGACGTCATGCTTATGCCAGCATGACGTCACATAGGCCGGGCCTTTGCTCAAAACGTTTTGGGCCGGCCTAGAAGTTGGCTTGGGCTAGGTGCCAGCCTATTAGGCTTGGCTGGAGTGATTTTGGGGTGTGCCAGCTACCTTTTTGGACTTTAGGCTAGCCTAACAAATTAGGGTGGAGTTGCTCTTAAGTTCCTGCATGAAAATTGGACACGAGAGTGAGGAGAACATGTCAACAGTCTTTTAATTTTTAATTTATTAAATTTTGCTATTTATTACTATACTCATAGTTTTTTAAAACACATTTTAGAAAATGTGAGGAATTCAGTTTGATTGACACTTGCATTTTTTCTTTGGAGGAGTAAGCTCATTCTCCCACTTATAGATAACGTATCTTTATCGTACAAATGTTATAATCGGAACTGTTTAATGTTTTAATCTTTATTTGAAAATTATTTCTTCACAAGATCATTTGAAACAGTGATCGTTTAGGTATTCAAATATATCAACGGTATGTAGGTACCAAGTAACATAATAATGATAAACTATCTAGTTATTTGATACTTTTGGATGACTAAACGATATCCATTTTGAATGATTTTTTTAAAGAATAATATTTAAATGAAAATTAAGAGATTGAACGATTCCGATTATAAAAAATTTATGATAAAAATACGTTATTTGTTAGTGAATGAATGAGCTTATCCCAAAAAGAAAATGCTAGTATTATTCATTAAGTTTTGTGACGCTTTCAATTTAATGAAAGTTTGATGGAATTCATGTGATCCACATGCCAGTAGTTGTCTCGACAAATCTTTTTCTTTCCTTTCATTTTTTGTATGGGACACAGACGAATCTTTTTCTAAAAGGATTCACGATTAAGTAAATTCATTTTAACAGTATCTATTTTATTTATTTGTAAGAGTGACAATAGCAAATAAGAAGATAGTATTCTATGTTATTGAAACACGGTCCGGTGGTCCGGTATACCGAGCCGTGTTTCGAATATAATAAAAAGTCTCTCTTGTAAGTTGTGAGATGGACAAAATGGATAATATTTAGGTACTTGAGTATGTACCTTATACACTCATTCTTTGATTTTGGTCCAATAATATTTTAATATATATTTTATAGTTTAATTATAAAAAAAACATGTTAATTTTTTTTTTTGGGCTTTTTTTTTTTTTTTTTTTGAGAAAGATTTTTCTTGGGCTTTAAAAAATAAGAAACAAGTGACACCTTAGTATTACCCTCTAATGATATTCTTCTTCACTTGTAAATGAGAGGTTTTATGTTTGATTCTTGCCAAAA